GGCTTACAGTGGCTGAACAGTGCCAAGTTTGATGCCACTGCTCAAACTGGACTAGCAGCAGGTGATGTAACTGTGTGACTTTATGAGATAAGCAGGCTTACAGCAGGAGTCAGGAACTGGGTTCTTCATAACTTGTTAGCTTAATCCATTATCTTATGACCAGATGGATTTTAGAGGGGTTTATTGTGTTTTTTTAACAGTATTTGGTTCTTGTGGACCTAGACTAGATTTAGGTTTAGATTCCAAACTAGTTTAGAAGTTTAATGAATTGCTGTTGAAAGCCAGAATCCTGAGTTATTGCAGAAAATGTCCCTAAGCTAATTTTACATATATTTATTCTAACCTGAGTAGCATGAAAGAGTTTAAGTCACAGAAGTTACACGTCTTCAGATCTTTGTTGCTGACATGGAAGTTGTTTCTTAGTGCAGCAGTTTTTTTTTCTTACAGGTATTTGAGTGTACTTTGTTTTATTGACTGGCTTTGTTCATCTCTGAAGACGTCCGGTTCGATCGTCATCACTGTCTCCTGCCCTGCAGATTTCACTGTTTGCTCTGATTTTGGTTTATCGTCTGCTCTGTGGTTTCTTGGGTGTGTCACCAGATCAGGTGTTTAAACAGGATGCTTAGAGTCTGTGTGTTTGTCAGGTACAGGACGATTTACCTCTAAATCACATACACTAAATGTTTTATAGAAGATTCACAGTACACCATAATTACAATTTAGTTTCCAAATTAAAGCCATATATATTTATCACGCTATTGGCACTTGCTAATGATTTTAATGCATCTGTCACACTGAATAATGTTATTTTCTCATCACTTACAGGCAATATAAGGTTACCTGATAAACAAAGCGTCATCACAAAGCTTAAAGTCCCAGATTTCCTGAGGCTGATCTTCACTACGCCTTTATTTCAAATAAGCTCAAAGTTCATGCTGCTTTCTTTCTCGTGCTGATTTCTTTTGCTTGTTTTGTTGAACTAGAAGGAAGGTCAGAATGACTATTACATATCCACCCAGAAATGACAGCGTTAAACAGTTGTCATTTTAATAAATACTTAATGCCACTGGTCTGATATTAAAGCAAAAATAAACTATTAATACTAAAAGAATAGCAATGACATCTAAAGACGTCTTCCACAAAATCACATAAAGACCTAACAACAAAAGTAACCATTGATTTACAGTTAGGGTTGAAAATTCTCACTTGACGTTTAATAAACTGTTCCTTTCTGTTGTCGTAAAAATGTTTTCTTCTCTGTTCACCACAAAGGTTTTATTGTAGGATGAACAGAGATTGTTTTTTAGTTGAGTTTTTAACATACAATCATGTCTGTTCATCAGACTAGAGCAGCTTCCTGCACAACACGTCACACCCCCTGCATGACACCCTGGACTCTTACCACAGCACCTTCAGTCGTAGACTGAGACCACCGAGGTGCTCCACAGAACACCACAGGAAGTCCTTCCTCCCTGTGCCTATCAAACTTTTCAACTCCTCCACCTTTCTACACATAGGACAACAAAATTAATCCTGCACTACAATAAACACTTTAATGTTTCTGTCTGCACCTGACCTGTTTTATAACCTAATTGCTGGTATTTTTATATTCTCTGCTATTTTTTTTATATCTTGTGTGTATGTTCCTTTATACTGAAACTCTGGCACAACAATTTCCTGTGGGATCAGTAAAGTTGTATCTTATCTCATTTTAGATTTCCAATGAGAGAAACTGTAACTAAAACTTTAGTTTTGAAGATACGGTAATTGTTTCATTATTGTTACGTTAGTCCCGTGTTTAATGGGGATCCATACCCTGAAGACACGCGATAAGTGAAAAACCACCAAGTAGGAATAATAGTACAAGTAGAATGTCATTATTTCAGCTCCCTGCCTCGTCTGCTCTTTGCCACCTGCAAGTACTCTTGACCACGCCCACTTCTCCGCTCTGCGCAGTGAACAGCTGATCATACACGGAGAACATCTGATCAGCTGCAGGAGGAAGTTTATCCTGCAGTAAGGGCTGCACAAAGGTGCAGCAGGTATTAAATTATTTTAAATTATTTTAAATAAAAATTCTATGTCGATCGTGTGGCTCATCCATCAATCAGCCAATTGTGTGTCATGTCCAATCTTATTTTGAAAAACCGTGATAGAGCGAGTCCGCGATAAATGAACCGAGAAGTAGCGAGGGACTACTGCATTGTAAATGTTTTGTTTTAAACACACCAACAAATTAGCTTAACAGAAAGTCTGAAAAAAACATATATTTTTGATAAATATAGTCCTTAGAGAAGAGGAATCAACTCAAAGGAAAGTCTGCAGGGTAGAGTTTACAAAAACTGGAATTCTTTTAGAAACTCGCAGATGGTGCACCTCATTTAAAATTCTGAGTATACTGACTCTCGCATACAGCTTAAGATAAAATAGAAATGTAACCAGCGTGAGTCTTATGAGCAGGAAGATTATTCCTTGAGTAAATCAGTAAGAAATCTGCTGAACAGCCAGACAAATTTTGTTGAACAGTTTTAAAACACATCTGAATCTTGTTTGATGAGCATAGTTTATTATTGATGTCTGTACTGAACTTTAACAGTTTGTTAAATTGTTTCATCTCCAGAGGATACATCTGAAAAGCTTATTATTTCTGCATTTGCTTGGATCTGATGAATTGTTATTTTCTCTTTATAGTGATGAGGTAATTGAAAAAGCTGAAAAGTGTTGATAATTAATTTAGTATCCAAATGTTTTTTACTGGTCCGTCTGTCCATCCATTCATTCATCCATTGTCTTTTACCCGCTTTTTCCTTTCTGGGTCGTGGGGTCACTGTTGCCCATATCCATGTTTTTGGTCTGTGGGAGGAAACCGGAGTACCCAGAGAAAACCCACTCATGTATGGAGAAAATATGAAAACTCCACCCAGAAAGGCCACCAGCCAGGATTTGATCCAACAACCTTCCTGCTGAGAGGCGACAGCTCTGCAACTGAGCCTGGTCCCATTATGTTATTTTAAAATAAAATAATAAAGTAGAGATTTTTAGCCTTGTGAGAACTTTATATAAATCTCTGTTGTGAAGGGAAGTTTTCAGTGCATAAATAATGTTTCTCAGTGTTCTTGTTTCTGCCACGTTCTTTGAGGTTAATGGGAGGCTGGTTACCTGTTGGACTCATCTGTCAGTGTTGAGCTCTTTCACCTTCAATGGAAAAGGTGGATGTTTGCGGCTGTTTGATTTGGTTTCTGTGGCCACCCAGCTTGCAGACATGGCAACCCTCCAGCCAGGAAGCCTCTGACTGCCTGTTGTTCCACAGCGATGGTCAGCCTAACCTCCTTTGTGTTCTTCTGTTTGCTTTACGAAAGGCCAGGTGACTTATAAACTACAGATACCATGGCTTGCTGCCACAATAAACAGTCTCCTACCAGCAGTATTAAAGGACAAAGACCAACTTGAACTTGACAGATTCAGATTACCATAACAAACTGGCCTAGCATCAATGGGATCAGCCGGAGAACATTTCCAGCTATTCTTAACATTTAGTCAAAGATTATACTGATTTAAATAATTTACAGAGGTGGCCAAAAGTTCTGAGAGTGGCACAAATTTAAGTTTTCACAATTTTCAGCCCAATTTTTTTACAACCTTTTGTTAGACATTTATAATGAAGTACAATTATAATCATTCCATACGTTTTATTTTATTTTTTAAACTTTTTATTGACAATAATACATCCAGTTTAAGCAAAGACATTATTTACAGTAGTGACCCTTCTTCTTCAGCTTCTGGGCAGAATCTTGAGTGATGGGAACCCATTCTTGTCTAATCAGTGCTTGGAGTTGATCAGAGCTTTTGGGTTTTTGTTTGTTCACCTTCTTTTTGGGGATTGACCACAGTTTCTCAGCTGGATTAAGTTCTGTAGTTTCCTGGCCATGGACCCAAAATTTCAACGTTATGTTCACTAAGCTGCTTGGTTATCACTTTTGCCTCATGATATGGTGCTCCATCATGCTGGAATCAACGTTGCTCATCTTCAAATTGCTCCTGGATCATTAGGAGACGTTTCTCTTGGAGGATGTTTCGATACCATTCGTTCAGGGCAGTGTTCTCAGGCAAGAACTATGAGCAAACCCACTCTCCTGGATGAGAAGCAACCCCACACATGAATGGTCTCAGGATGCTTCACTGTTGACATGACACAGGGCTCATGGCAGTGCGCACCTTTTCTTCTCGGGACAATAATTTTTCCAGATGTCCTTAACATTCTGAAGGGGGCATCATCAAAGAAAATGACTTTACCACAGTTCTGTCCAATTCCTACACTTCCTGCAGAATGTCAGTTTGTCCTTGATGTTATTCTTGGAGAGAAGTGGCTTCTTTGCTGCCCTTCATGACACCAAGCCCTCCTTTTTCTGGCAGTATAATAAAACATGTTCTATAGTTTCATCTTCTCCGGATGAGGAGCGAAACGTCTTCGGTTACAAATAAAAGTCCAGTTGTTTTTGTATTGAACGCTTTTTGAATTCATCATGTCCTGGATGACTGAGAATCTTCACCAGCATCTTCTCCACAGTATTCACATTTACCTGCATGATGATTTTCTATTATGAACAATGTTCTATTTGGTCCGGCGTGTCCAAATCTGAGACATGATATTACTGTTTCCTTTGTCCTGTTTTTCCCAGCTTTTCTAATTTCTTATGCTTTCTGTTGAAGGAAGAAAACTTAAAAGCACCACTATCCTTTTAAAGCAACCAGTCTGCTCTTCTAATCAGCATGACAGAGTGATATCAGCTGTCTTGTCCTCAATAACCTTTTCTCCTGAGCAAACGAGATCATCACTGAAATGATGTTAGCAGGGCATTTTGTTGGGCTGAAATTCAATGGCTGTAATTCAGTAATTTTGATGATAAGGTTATAAGCTCCACATTTTTAATGACCATTAGGTCACTGTCCTCTTTCTAACCTGCTGTGTGTTTACGTTACTGCCCTGTTATCCAGGAGGAATGCAGGACTACAACTACGTGTATGGAAACTGTCTTGAAATCACCATGGAGCTGAGCTGCTGCAAATATCCCCCTGCTTCCGAGCTCCATAAGGAATGGGACCTGAACCGGGAATCCCTTTTAGCCTACATAGAGGCGGTAAAACCTGTATTTTTGTTGTGCACCACCACAAAATTAGAGTAGCATCACTCGATTTCAGTAGGATGTCTTCTGTATTTTAATACCTTCTGTTTTCCAGGTGCACATGGGCGTCCGTGGGTTTGTGAAAGATGTGGTCAGTGGAGCTGTCCTCAGCAACGTCAGCATCGTGGTAGCGGGGAATCGCCACAACCTGACCACTGCAAAATACGGAGACTATTACCGCCTTCTGCTTCCAGGGACGTACAATATCACAGCTGTGACACCAGGGTAATGAATGCCAGCCTTCGCATAGCAGGGTTTTACAAACAAAAAAGTTATTCATTACAGGTCAACGCTTGATGTTAAAGTACAGAAGCAATATGGCTCTTATCATGTTTAAAGAGTTTAAGCACAGTTGGCATTAGGCCTGTCACGACAAACAAGAAATCAATTAATCGCATGATAAATTAAAATTATCAACCTCATTTTCAATTATCGGCTTTATCGTTTCTTCGTGTCTCTCTCTTTCTACTGAACACTGGATGACAAAAGGCTCAACTCCGGTTCTCTTCACTGACCCTTCTCTTTCTCTTTTATCTTTAAAATAAATTTTAACCATCCAAAATCGTGTTTTTGCATCATTAAAAGCAGCTAAGCTGAGAAACTAATCTACGAGCTAAGCTAACAGGCCAACCTAGGGGGAAAAAAAAACCTCTTGTCTTGTCAAAGCTCCAAAATTAGTGGGTGAAACCAGTGTCTTTGTCTAAAAAGTTGTTTTTCTCTGCAAAAGAAGCTGAGAACTTGTTTATTGATTTTTTTTTTAATTAAAAGCTTTGTGTGACAAATACTACGCTAAAGAGCTCAAACCACACAGAGCGTCCGCCATTTTGAGAACTGAAGAGAGACAGCCCATGTCAGGTCAAGGGGTCTCCCTCTCATTTTTCTTAAAGAGAGACGCTGCTCGCTCCCTCACTATCCATTCTTCGGTTCAAACTGTCTTATACTGCCATCCAGTGATCAAAAAGGGTACCACACTCAAAAATTAACCAACATTTCTTTTTAAATTTGACAATAATTAATAAATATTGTAAAATTTCAAACAATATGATCTTTTATTGCAATAATTTCTGAGACAATCACCCAGCAAAGTTTGTTGGCATCTTGAATCATGTCTTTATGCCTGTTTTCAGGTACTTACCAATGACAATCAACAGTGTTCAAGTGGCTGAGGGTATAGCCACTGAACTTAACTTTACTTTGTCACCTATGGCTGGTGAGACTACAGGTGACACCACCCTGGCTACAACCTCCGAGCCATCCACCAGTCACCCAGCAACTACAGTCTCTTCTACCTTAAACAAGACTCAGGTGGTTTTCACAGAAGGAAACAAGATCAATCCTCCTGTGCACCAGCCCATCCAACCCAAAGAGTTTCGTCACCACGACTTTGCAGACATGGAGCTTTTCTTACGCAAATACAACAGCGAGTTCTCCTCCATTACCCACCTGCACTCTATTGGCCGCTCGGTGAAAGATCGGGAGCTGTATGTGATGATCATCTCGGATAACCCAAAGGTTCACGAGCATGGTAAGTTACTCTAGTCTTTGACAGTATTTACAAATTACACAGCCTCTAAATATTCTTTTAGCTGTTTAAATTCATTTTGTTTCTTTCTTTCAGGTGAGCCCGAGTTTAAGTATGTGGGCAACATGCATGGAAATGAAGTAGTGGGTCGAGAGTTATTGCTCAACCTCATTGAGTATCTGTGCCGTAACTATGGTACCGACTCAGAGGTCACTTGGCTGGTCAACAACACACGCATTCACATCATGCCCTCCATGAATCCCGACGGCTACGAAGAAGCCACTGAAGGTAGGTCCTAAAAGACAAGACAAGCCACGAAACTCTTGACTTGAGCTTCTTGTGCAACAATTATTAAACTAAATACTTCAGGTAATTGTTGATTCCTTCTGAGTTATCCTGGGGAAATTTACCCCAAACCTTTAATGTACAACACTTTTTTTTCTGGTATTTTAGTAGGTGACCTTACACAAACTTTAGGTCCTTTTTGTTAAATCGACTTGTTCTTAGGTTGTGTTGTTGCATGGTTTTCTTAAAACAATTTAGGCTTTTATTGGTTTAGATTCACATTTTCTGACATTTTACTTCAGAATTTTTGTTGTTAAATAAAGTTTATTATTTGTTTACGACATTCTAAACATGCTATAAAAACACACTGTATAATTGTCTTCCCCATTTTTCACAGGGGTTGTAGTATTCATTACATTAATGGGTTAATTTATGAAAGAGCTTACACGCCTTCAACCATCCAACAGAACAAACAAACAAAGAGCTGATCAATCAACAAACCAATCAACATACTGACCAAATGAAAAACTGACCATCCAACCAATCAACCGATGGCCAACCATTAATCTAACAGACAGACCAAATGTGCAGTATGACATGTTCAGTTCTTTACTTTTAAAGGTTTTTTTTGGGGGGGGGGGGGGGGGATTGCCTCCTCTGTCATTCAGTAACTTTTAGTTACTAATTACTGCTGATGTGTAAGAGGAAGTGAAGTTGAGGATGTTTGAATCTTCAAGCAGGAACATGCGTCAGTGAACAGATGCTAGTCATCAGTCACTCAACACTCCGGTTTGCTTCCTCTTAGGTGATGTGAAGGGCTACAAAGGACGCAACAACAGCAACAAATTTGACCTGAACCGTAACTTTCCTGACCAGTTTGTCACCATCACAGACCCCAGACAGCCAGAGACTCAGGCTGTCATGGAATGGGTGAAAAGCACGCCTTTTGTTTTGTCTGCCAACCTCCATGGAGGTATGATCTCACTTTATATCCTCAGTCAAAAACACTATATTCTCTTGGTCTACAAACCTTTTATTTTTTTTCAACATAAACTATAAATTTAAGTGTTTTTTTTTATTTTTTTTATCAGATCCATATTTTGAGGTTTAGATCCACTGTTTCTAATTAAAAATCCTCCATAACATTTTCTCTTAGGAATGAGCTGTATTTTTGCTCTGTTGTCTTTGTTTTTGTGTAATGTAGGCTCCTTGGTGGTCAACTACCCCTTTGATGATGACAAAGAGAGAATTCGTGGTAGTCATTATAGCAAGTCACCTGACGATGAGGTCTTTAAGCAAGTTTCGAGAGCCTACTCTGAGGTAATCGAACTCTGTTGCTTTGGGATTACTCTCAGGTTGAAATAATTTCTGTTTGTGTGTTTATTAAAGAACAAACATGCAGTAAATTGCTGCATCTGTTTCTAAATATCTGGTGAGATCTTGTTTTAATCTAGAATACAAAGTCATGTGTTGTTTGGTTCTTATGTTTGTTGGATTTTTATACAGGAAAATCCTCTTATGCACAATGGACACCCTTGTGAGAACCTGTACCCTCAGGAATATTTCCAGGATGGCATCACGAACGGCGCTGAGTGGTACACAGTCCCTGGTATGTTGCATATTTTACTCTTTGTTGCTTATTGCTAGTGTTTTTTTTGTAAAACTGCATTTAAAAAGTATTTTTTCAAGAAGTTTAACTTTGCCAATTCAAACTTTACATTAGTTTGTCTAAAAATTTCATTTTTCATAGAAGTAAAAAATGCTCACCACATTTTGAATTTAATAACTGTGACTCTGACAAAATCACGATTTTCTCCTGCTATCCGCAGTCTAAAACGATGTGTGAAAGTGACCACGAATAAAGCACCACCTTTCATCGGGATTGCCTTAAAAGTGTAAAACTTGTGTGACGCTCAAGTCATTACAGTATACAGAATAAAAACTATATGAAAAAGTAAACACTACCTGTACTTTGTGGAATGCAGTTTAGAAGCCACAAGTTACTCATTTTGCTTTGGTTATTTTTAACTCACTATAAGAACAAAGTTAAATCAGGTCATCTGGGCAGATTTAAAAAAAAAAAAATTGTTGAAAAGTTTTGTCTTTTATCCAAAAGACTTCTTCAGTCTGAGGAGCTGCACTAAACTCACTCTTATAAATAGCACCTTCTTATAGTGGCTCAACCAGTTTGTTGTTGACATCCAGACAACCAGTTTGCACATCCTTGATGGAGAGGAACGCTGGTTATGAGAGGAGTGAATGAGGGAGGAGTGACGGAAGCCATCTTTGAGAAGAGAAACCGTCCAGCCTTCTGTGTCCAATTGCCACCCTCTTACAATGCTGTTATTCAGGGGTGTCTAACTCACTCACAAAAGGGGGCCAAAATTAAAACATTTTTCAAACTAAGGGCCAATTTCAGAAACTACATTAACTCAAATCAGATACCCAACATCTTTTCTTGGTCGCAGGTTCCTCAACAAGAGTTTGATTGGTCTCATTTGATGTTCTCTATTTCGACATCATAATCAAAGATTACTGAAAAAATTCAAGAGATAGAAATATTTTATGTTTCACATATCATCTTGGGGGCTAGATAAGATGTCAGCGAGGGCCACATTTGGCCACCAGGCCTTGAGTTTGACACATATGCTGTTATTACTAGTATCACTCAGCCCCTGTGAATAGCAAGCAGCCATCAGGGCACTAATGATCCATCGTTAGGCTGTTGGTCCTCCTTTATCATGTGAACAGCTAGTTTTGGCTGTCACCAGCAAACTGGTTGATCCACTATGAGAAGGTGCTATTTATAAGACTGAGTTTAGTGCAGCTCCTCAGACTGAAGAAGTCTTTTGGATAAAAGACGAAATGTTTCAACAATTTTTTTTTAATCCATCCAGATGACCTGACTTAACTTTGTTGGTATCGAATGGAGTAAGCTGTTGTTGTGGGAATCAGTTTTGTTTGGAGACTCCTCAGATCGAAGAAGCTCTTTGGATGAAGGACGAAACGCCTCTGCTTAAAAAAGAAACCGTCCAGATGAGCTGACTGAACATTGTTGGATTTTATACCTGGATTATTGAGCATGCATCAGGACAATATAAGAATGTTTCCAGAAGACCTGTGGACACTATTTCAGAGTCAGAGTCAGAGTCAGAGTTTCTTTATTGTCATTCGCACCTCATGTGGTACATGTGGTGGAGCGAAATTATGTACACAGGGTCCCAGTTACATCCAACAATAAAATGTCTAAGAAAAACAGTAATAACATCTAAGATATGAACTAAGAAAAACATCAACTAAATATACACTAAGCACTCATAACATAAAACATTGAACATCACCACAAACATGAACATGAGTCTGTGAGCAGATGTGCACGCATGAACATATCAACATTGAAACAGATCAGCAGCAACATGAAACAGATCAGCAGCAACATGATATGTTTTTTCACAGTGATTATTCTAGTTAGAGATTCATGAGTCTAACAGCCTCAGGCCATTTATGGCCATTATAGCCACAACTTATCAGTAAACATAGATCCTGCAAATAGGACTGTTATTAAATTAAGTTCATGCTTTTTTGTAAATGAATTAAATCTAGTTACTGAAGTAATGAATCATGGGAGCATACTGGTATTTTATTGTAGACTTCTTAGCTTAACCCCAGAGCGACCCCTGCTGGGCAATTTGTAGAAATGCAGGTTACGAGTTTAAATCTTCATAAATCTTCAAGAATTTAAATCTTCATGGCTTATTTTTTTTCATTTGAAGACTCGTGATTTTTTTTTCCTCCAAGTGAAAGCGTTGAACCAGATTAAAGGAGCTCTTCTCTCTGCAGGTGGCATGCAGGACTGGAATTATGTCAACACCAACTGCTTTGAGGTGACCATCGAGCTGGGCTGCATCAAGTACCCCTGGGCCAACGATCTGCCAAAATATTGGGAACAAAACTGGCGAGCCTTGCTGAAGTTCATCCAGCAGGTAGTTAAAACAACCTCCAGACCCGGCTCTCACAAGACAACTGTGGAGTTTTGCCTTTACTCTTGTTTGTTTTATTTATTCTTGTAGGTTCACACTGGAGTAAAGGGTACAGTTACTGACTTTAGAGACGGGTCAGGAATTCCTAATGCCACCATCAGCTTGAAGGGAATAAACCACAACATCACTACAGCTCAGACTGGAGATTACTGGAGACTGCTGGTCCCTGGGACCTACTCTGTCACTGCCACTGCCCCTGGGTAATATTTGTATTTCAAACCAAACAACAAACTAAGAACATAAAGCTTCTCTGTACATTGCTGTTTTGAGTGCTGCTAAATTTAAATTACTTGTTTTCTATCTGCATAGTTACAAACCCGTGTCGATCTACGCCACGGTCTCAAAGGATCACGCAGAGGTGGTGGACTTCAGACTGGCTCGATTTGACTCCGACAATAATGTCCAGACTACCAGTGGTCCTAAGACCACACAGAACCCATCTGAAAAGGAGCTGCAGGTCCTAATCAGTGAGCTCTCTGTAGACGGAGGTTTGGAGCAGCTGGTCATGAGCACAGCCTCTGACAACAGCCTCCACTACATAGGCTCTAATGACCTCTTCAACTACTTAAGAGGCCTCACACTTAACTTTTCCAATATTACTAAACTCCACAGGTGAGCAGGTTTCCTCTTATATCAACTGTTAGCTACAGGCCGTGCATCTTTTTGCTGTGCTAAAAAGGCCTGCACTGTTAAATTGGGTGACTGAGGTCAACATAGTCTCAGTTACATAACTTTTTTTACTTTTTATATTATTCATGTTTAATAAATATTCTGTTTAATTTATGTATATATATTTTTAATCTAGTTTGGGCCAGAGTGTGGAGTTCAGAACGATTTGGGCTCTGGAAATAACCAACAACCCAGAAGAAGCTGAGCCGTCTAAACCAAAGGTCCGCTTCGTGGCAGGGATCCATGGGAATGCACCCGTGGGCACGGACCTGCTGCTGGAGTTTGCTGCCTTCCTGTGCATCAACTATCACAAGAACCCAGCCATCACCAAGGTGAGCATCTGGACAGACAGCCGTTTGAACACAACACTTTGAAAATATGGCCATAAAAGTGATGCCTTCTTGTTCCATCTCCAACCTTTTTTTGTTCTCCAGCTCATCAACGAGACCCGAATTTTCATTGTGCCCTCCGTCAACCCCGATGGGCGAGAGCAGGCTCAGGAGAAACAGTGCACGTCCTCCCAGGGCCTGACCAACTCTAATGACATTGATCTAGACAGTGACTTTTTTGGTCAGTTGTTTGGCACGGACTCACCTTGGTACACTTGAGACATTATCCGATTTTTATTCGTGTTTCTATTCGACTAGGCAACGAATCACATCGTATGGGTGAGCCTCAACCCGAGACGAGAGCCATGATGAATTTCATCCAAAACGGGGACTTCACTCTGTCTGTAACTCTGGACGGAGGCGCTCTGGTTGTCACCTACCCTTATGACAAGCCTGTTCAGACAGGTATCATGCCTATTTATAACTGTCTATTGTAGTCGTTATCTACTGTTGTCATCACTCTTTGTTGAAATCAGGTCTCTCTTGTAAATGAGTCCTCAAGGCTCAATGGGATTAACCTGTATAAATAAAGGTTGAATGAATGCCTGTGCTCTGAACATGCGTCTGTTTGCCTGATGGTATGTAAACTAAAATGGACTAAGTGGTCTTTCTTATTTTGCAGTTGAAAATGAGGGCACGTTGAAGTACCTGGCGAAGGTGTATGCCAAGAACCACCAGAAGATGCATCTGGGAGATATTGCGTGTTCTAACAACGAGCAAAGTACGACATTGGAGGAGCGTTTGGAGCTTGTTACAGCTGTCGTCATCACAGTTCTCATAGCTTTTCTTGTTTTCAGAGGGCAACGTCCCAGGTGGAGTTATGAGAGCAGCCGTGAAACAAAGTCACACGGGGAGCATGAAGGTAAAGTTTGCCGTTGCTGGAAGCAAGAGTGTTTGTGGGCTGCATTGAACTGATCAGTTCATAAAATCATATTGATTGGAGTTGATCAGATTTCAAAAGTGAATAATATGGCCCACCACCAAAACATGAACAGATTTTAAAGAATCTCCCAAAAAATGAATCTTTTGGATGTACGCCAATACCTGATTAGCTTTTGGAGTCAACCTAGTTCAAGATAGCCGCCTCAGCTAATCCACCTTAGCCAACACAAAACTGACTATAACTTCTTCAGATTTATCGATATTGAGCTAAAATTTTGTGTGGTAGTATCAGAGAGTCACACTCAACACTCACTCTGAGCACAAATAAACCTCACAATACCACATTCATTCAACCTTTATTTATACTGGTCCCATTAGTCCCATTGAGCCTCGGGGACTCGTTTAAGAGAGACCGAATTTTTTTTTTTTAACAAAGATTGACGACAACAGTGGCCAAGAAGACAACATTAGACAATCATAAAAGATGTGTACAATTATTTTTTTTACAAGTTAAAGTAAAATGACAATCAAAAGGAAAAGTAACGAAAAAATAGCTAACATGAAGTTATGGGTGAGGTTTAAACCAAAACGGCCCGTTTCATCTTAAGATGATCTTAGTTTAACTCTGACATTAAAGGTGGCGCTTGATCATTTTGTCTATTCTTTAAGAGTATAGCTTTAATTTAAAAAAGTGATAAATTAAAGTTAGATGCTAACCTTTGCTCTGCGTTATTTCCCGTCTTCGTGTCTTTCCAGGACTTCAGTATGGACTTAGGACACTGTCCGGAGATCACCGTGTACACGGGCTGCTGCTTGTTCCCTCCTGCTGATCAGCTGGTCACTCTCTGGGCCGAGAACAAGAAGGCGCTCCTCAGCATGTTGGTGGAGGTGGGATTTAATCACATCAACATTTATGATAAACTGAAGTAACTTGTTTACCATTCACTATTAAATTTATAGCACGCAAAAGACACAAAACGATGTAAAAATGTAGTTTAAAGTTTATTTAACTGGGATTAAACACCATTACATATCAAATAATGCAAGCATTGCTGTATGTATGCCTCCTAACTCTGATTCAGTTTTAATTCTTGTTTTTGATTAGACTTTTTAATTAATTTAAGACTTCCAAACTTTTCAACTCCCAGTTTTCATTGCTTCTGTTTCCCGAGAAAACCCCTACACTGAAAAAGAAAAAAGAGATTACTGTTTCCTCCATTTTGGAATTGGCTGCAAAATTATCAGGTCTCCTAAAAATACTTAAATGGACACTAAGTATTAATGCAACTTAATAAGAACTCACATTAGAGTAGACATGTTTTATACCAAGCTGAATTTTAAAGACAATGTTTGCGATTTTAATGATTTTTTTTTTACCCTCAGTGCATATTTTATGGAACTTTTGGTGTTTTTATTTTATTTATTTAACATTTTCAGCGCCGCTCGTCCTGCTGAAATGAGAATAACGAATTATGTCTTCTCCATCCAGGTTCATAAAGGAGTACGAGGCTTGGTGAAGGACAAAAGTGGAAAGCCAGTCGTTGGTGTGAGCATCGTCCTGAACAGAAGAATGAAGGTGTTCACCTCTAAGGGAGGCTACTTCCACGTCCTCCTCGCTCCGGGTAACTACAGCATTGAAGCCATTGCTGATGGATATCAGAAACAACAACTTAAGGTGAGCCTTTATTTACTGAGGTCGCCATGTTTTAGACGTTACCCTGATTCAACACACCTGAGTCAAACGGGCACCTCCTTGTTAGTGATTGGTTTAAATCAGGTGTGCTGGAGCAGAAAAACATCTTAAACCTTTAGGAGAACGGATGCTGAGGATCATGGTCCACTGGTTATTTATAATTTATGTTTACATGCATTTGTTTGGAAGATGAACTAGTACAGTTACCGTTTCTTCCAGCTGGATGCAGTTATTGCAACTCATTTTCAATTAGACATTTTTGGACTTTAAAAACTCATTAGAAGGAGCATTGTAGGAAAAAAAACAAGGACTGCACTTTAATTATGAGTTCATTTTAATTCCTATTATTAAGCATTTAGCTGAAAGGAGATTGTAAATCTAAATTATTAGATCTGCAAAGTATAAAATCATTTAAACACAGTTCTACTTGCATTTCAACAAACCAAAGTTTTTGATCTAAATGCTACTCGTTGTAGCTGGAGGGTTAATAATGGGTTTAAAAAATGATAAGTGAGGTCGCTGTCCTAAGTGTGACGATGCTTGCTGTTGAGTTGATGTATTTAGTGTTGGAAAGCAGAACTAAAGCCTGCTTTGGTTGTAATGTTTTATACCAGGGCTACTTAACTAAACTGCTCAGGGAGCCACAGTCACTGAAAGCCAAGAGCTCAGAGGCCAGACATCCTGTAGTTATTGCCATTGAGCAAGTTTGCTTTACGGTTTAAAGTCTGGTTTTATTAAATTAATCCATCAGTGAGCCGAACACAGCCCTGTTTTATACTCCTAAAGTGTGCGTATTGCTTTAATGACCCATATTCATTTTGTAATTGTTGAGAACTTTTGATTCTGCAAACATGTCACCAGAAAATCGACACCAACGCTCTAAAAAGTTAACGTTTATTTACTTCATTCAAAGGCAAGTGGAGCCCCAAATTCACTAAAATAAAGTTTATTAATTTGCAAACCACGTTTTTTTAATTTAGCAAGTCTTTGGGAGAAGTTTACCACTGTTCCCCTTTACAGTCTATGAAAGGTGTAGGCCGAAGCACGCAGAACCTCTCCGTCACTTCCACCTTCCCGTCGGCGCGCTCCGACACCTGCAGCTTCGGGTAGGCCAGCTCTTCAAACAGGTGCTCCTTGATGGTGAAGCCGAGCTCCAGACTGTAAGGCGCCAGCTTCCCACAGGGTCTGCAGAGCACGGGGTCCACCACCGAGTGATAGGTCTGCTGGTAGTCCGCTACCGTGTAACCGTGGATCATCAGAGCGCCGCCGGAGCTCTTCTCCTCGCCGCCTGCGCCGTCACTGCTGTCGCGTGGCAGGTCTGAGAGCTCCGGAAGAACGGCGGCGTTCCTTATATACCTCTCATCCAGCGGTGTCTGGGGGTCCCGCTGCTCCAACATAAGGTCCAAATTGAAAGCTGGAGCCAACATGAATTTCCTCTCCTTGGTGGTCTCCCCGTACTTTTTAGGACATCGAATGCTCTGCCTGAGCTCGTAGGAGCGCATCATGTGTCTGAAATGAAAAGTGACGACGCTTTCAGTGAACTCTGCTGCTCTTTGTGGAAGTAATTCATATTAAAAACAACAAACCCATCGTAAAACCCAACACGATTAAAAGAGGGAAAGTAAAACTTGCTATTTAGTAACAAATAGCTCAGTTTTTGTTTAAATTTGTTGTGTAATCAGCCTTTCAACCATCAGATTAGAACCGTTGTTTCCTGTCTAGTTCCTAAATAAAGACTGATAAAACTGAGGTGCAGCTCCTGAGCTACAAAAGAAAGGAGTGAAATTGTGTTCTCAGCTTAAAGATTTACCTCTTAGATGAATATTTTAGGATTGTTTTTTCACCAGCACTTTTTTTAGACATACCAGACAACCTGCTGCAGAATATACTAACCAGACACACCTGCACGTGACACCTGCTAATGAGATAATTGACCTCCAACAGCTTTTAGAGACAGAACATGCCTTTAACTTTGAAGAGACAGAGGGGTAACAGGAAGTCTTTCTGGTGTTTTAGATGTTTGGGAAAGTTTATGAAGTTTTAAAAAGCATCTGTGATGGTTTTTACAGAACAACCCCCCCCCCCAAACACCCACACACACACTCATCATTTACTGATGTACCACCACGACTGCCACCCGAGGTTTAAATAATCCTGACTGAGGTTAGGATGAAGATATTTAACAATTAAAAAAAGTCAGATAAATGTGATTTTTGTTTGGTGGGAGAGTTTCAGCTGTAATAAATTAAACCACGCTGTAAAGTTTTTATAATTTAGGAAGGCACGTGGCTTTAAAAGTTCCACTTACATTTTGTTTTGTGTTTTCCAGGTGGAGGTGTCTCCTTATGAAGCTGCTAGCTCCATCGTCATTGAGTTCGACTTGGACAGAAGCATCTTTGGCTTGCCCAGAGAGTTTGTTGTTGCCTGTGCGGGTAAGTATTTCTAAGAAAGGTTCTCGTTACAAATCAGCTCCACTGATCTAGAAATGCTCTGGAATGGCCACCGACAGCACTTGGTGAGAGTTTTGGCTGCTGACTAGTGTACTGTATGCTGAGCCATCAGTCTGAAAACACATAGAAATAGCCCTATTTTACATAAATGTACAACTGGATGCATGCTGTGAAAACAGCAGACGGGGCTGTCATGTGCCTCCCTCCTAGCCCGTTCAAGCGTTTCTGTCGAGATATTATGAAATAATCATTCCAGCCAGACCAGTTTACCACTTTGTTCTTTACATGCTTACTTAGTGTGGGCTGTGGTAGCCCATCTTCATCATCTATATCAGTGTCTCACGTTAATTGCTCTTAGATTATTAACTTAAATTTAAATAATGTATTTTTTCCTCATAATTTAAAAAAATATTTAGGATTTTTATAATGCACATTTCAGTATTTAGACATGGATAAGTGAGCTTTTCTCTAACCTATACACTAAGTCACTCTTATGTGGCATATATTTTACTTCCACTTCTTTCAGCTTTTCCATCTTCAGGGGTCGCCACAGCGAGTCATCCTTTTACTTCCACAATTAATAATTAATAATAATACTAATAATATAAAACTTTATCATTCAAAATTGTACAGTACACCATGCAAAACTGAACAAAGTCTTGTTTAATTTCCAAACTCAAGTATTACAATGATCTGTTACTTTTTAAATTTTGTTTTTTTTATTGCATTTAATCATAAATGCAATAAACAAAACCTAAATCCAGAACCCCCCCCTCCCCCATTTCTTTAATTTTTTTAATTTTTACATGAACTTTTCTTGTGGGCCGTACTGAAGTCACTCGCGGGCCGGAAGTGGCCCATGGACCGCCTGTTGAATCACCCTGATGTTGTGTATTGGATTAGTATTGCCTGAAAAACAAAAGCCTAATATCACAAATTTGTAGGTGCATGATTTGAAAATTAAAACATTTAATGTAAAACCACAAGGCTCCTTGGTTAAGATTTGGTATTGACCTCATATTTATAGTCTGCTGCCAAATTGATAATAAGGATTCCACTTAGCACCTACCAAGATGGCTGCACAAATTCTCCTCATTGGCATAGCCTTCGCTGCAGTTGTAGTTGTCTCTATTTCAGTGGTCAGCTCGAGTAACTAACAAGTACTCATGTTGCTTGTTTATAAAATGTCTTCTATTTGAAAGATTGTAGTTTAGTTTTAAGTTCAAAATATCATTAAAAACCAGCTGCGCATGGTCATTTAGAGCAAGGCCACGTCTATCAGAATATCTTACTCGTATTGTGCGGGTGAAACTGAGTATTGTTTAGAATAATAAACATTTTTAAATAGTTTAATCCCAAACTGAAACAGTGCATACGTGTGGACATACTCAGATGTTTGTTTGTTTGTTTTGTCCCACAGCGGCAGCCATGACGGCGCTGGTGATAACGGCGTGCATCATCTGGTGCGTGTGCGCGGCCAAGTCCAACCATCAAAAAGACGGCTTCCACCGCTTACGGCAGCACCGCGACGAATACGACGACGAGGTCCGGCTCAACTCCATGGGCTCAAAGAAATCCCTGCTCGCCAACGAGTTCCAGGATGAAAGTGAAAGTGAAGAGGAGACGCTGTACGCCAACAAAATCTGAAGACATCTGCACCAGTTAGACTCGGTATTTTTTTGTCTGTTTTTGAGCTCCCACCAGAGTCAACTTACCAACATGGAACTAAACGAACTCCAGACCGAGCAGCTTCTGTTTATCGACGAAAGACTGATGAAGCATTTCTTTCGGTTATGCCTTTAAGTTTTTAGAGCTCACTTCCTCTTACTTGGGTGCTGCTAAATCAGAGAATCCTTCAGGACTGAGGGTTCACGTTTTGTTTCAGCTTGGCTGAGAGCAGCAGTAATAAACAGTTTATTTTATCTTTAAGTTGTTGTGTTTCCGAGCCATTCAAAGGCACTACTGGGTCATTATGTGTTCTGCCTGCCTCACAGGTCAAGCCATCAAGTCCAAATGAACTTATATCAGTGTCTCATCACTATGTATTTGTCTGAATACCACTTAAAGCTGGATTGTTATTTTTGTTTAAAATATTAAAGTTACACTGAAACGTCCGAGCGGAAAATGGGAGATTGAGCCCATCATTCAGTGCCTTGGCTTCGACAGATTTTAAAGCTCCAGTCAGGCTGTAAGAAGAGGCAGAACTAGTTATATAAATTATAACTGTGTGACCATTATTCAGATTTTTGATCCACATTATCCTCAAGTTATTAACTGGAAGAAGTGCTTATTAATCAATAAATTCTGATATTCACTTTTTATTTATTTTTTGCACATCAGCGAGCAAAAGCAGCTTCAGGAGGTTTATAATTTTGCAGAAATGATCTGGAAGGATCTGCCTCCATGCTCAAGGGAAAGTTTGTCTTGTGAGCGGATCGTGCTCTAATTGGAAATGGTTTCACAGCCACGACAACAAACTGAAACTAAAAATGTGTTTTGAGCAGATCTTTTTTTTGGTTTTTTGGGGGGTTTATTAGTTACAGCTGTGTGGAGAGGAGCTTTTATGGATTATTGTTGGTTCCAGGCATATCTTCAATCTGACACTTTATTTTCTGCCACATCTTTCCTTTTTGACAACCTGTTTGTAATATTGTACAGCCTTAAGAGTGAATATTTTTCAAACTTAAAGGGGGAAAAAGGCACAAAATGTAAGTTTAATCACGCATTGAGGGATTTGTATCCTAGGATTGTCCAGTTTGCTCAACACAATTTTACGAAGTTCGGTCCCTCGGTAACCTGTTTGGTTTGTTTCTCTGCCGATATGAGTGACAATAAGAAGTGAGCTTTTCCTCGTTTGGTGATCCCGCGCTCAAAGTGGAGCAACTTCTCATACCAAACGCAGAAAATGACCAAAAACAGAACGTGTGAATAAATCCTCTCACCGGAGATGCTTGTACGGCTTATTTTAAACGCATTAAAGTGTCTAAATGTGTGAAAAGCTCTGCCTGTTCTGAATCGTTCACCTTGATCTCCAGTTGTTTTCGCAAGAAATTCTTTCTTGACCTCTGCTTTGGGGAAAAGTTTGTAAGTTATTTTTCTTACACGGCGTCTATAAAATGTGTATAGATTTCTGAAAGTGTCGCACGTTGATGTGAAGATTTTATATGAACTGGAATAAAATGTAAATATGTCAATTGTGCATAAATGGTGGGGAGTGCACTTTGTGTTTTCACATGCAACTTTTCAGAACTGTTCGATTGAGCAGTGCGAACGTGCACAACAACTCACAAAACAAGGAAATAAAACAACTCTGAGCCCGTCTTGTTGGTGTGCTGCAATTCTTTGGGGCCAAGTTTTGTAAATGAGAACAGCTGTAGAGTTAAAAGAGCTTCTTGAAGGGTCCAAATCAAGACGTTTCAGGAGATAAATGTTTAAATATTGGCAGCAAGAGGTCACCACTCTGCTCTTCATTTTAAACATGTTCGCTCAATGAATGTAGTCGAGATTTGTGCCATAATGATTTTGGAAATAAAATTAGATTTGCAAACAAAATTTTGATAAAATGTAAATAATTTTGTTTGACCACTTATGTTTTAGTTTAGCTTCTGAAGCTTTTATTCTGACATGATGGGAGCTGTTGAGGTAACGTCTGTTTTTACTAAGTTGAATTTAAGTTCAACCTGATCAGTGACGCAATAATATGAGCTGGCACTTTATGGTCTGAAAATTCCCTTTTCCAGATATTGTGATTATGTACATACCATGAAAGATGACATTAAATGAAAAAGTGAACAATTGCAGATCTACAGAGCATGCTTTAGACAATACAATTTTTTAAGTATTCACACTTTTCTTCATAAAATTCAACATTAATGTCAGAGTTCTGACTTTATTCTCATAATTTCGACTTTAATCTAGAAATTTATTAAAAAAATTAAATGTGGCCCTAATCCTCTTCCATTCAGATAAGTAAAAAATATTTTTCGGATTATTTTTTACACTTGTCAGATAAAGGACGCACAAAAAATGTTTAGGCAAAAGTAGAATGTTTTGACTGCTTAAAACATTTCATAATCACAGTACACTTTATTTTGTATTAAAATGTACAATAGCTGTCATGAACATTGAACCTTTGTTGAAACAAATATTTTTTTTGCAGTTTTATAGCAAAATAACTGTTTAACCACACCCATAATATCCTTAAACTGTTATTTATATACATGGTATTTGTTTTAGTGATTAAACAAGATAATTATTTAAACTTATTTTATGATGTTTTGGTTTTATTTATCCCGGAAGTGACGTTAACCTTGTTGGGCAAAGAGGCTCCTGTCCAACCTGACAGTCTGAACTGAGGGTGCTAAAAGTCTACGTTTTGTGTCTTCCCATATCACGTGATCCGAACTTGACGGTGACGTCGCAGAACAACAAAAATGGCAGGAATAGGAAGCAGCACCTATTGGGAGGGTAAGGAGTCCTAGCGTTGTTATTCGGCTTACATTTAAGTGTCAAACGCAGTGAAATGTACCGTACACGTAACGTCAGGAGTATTTTATCACTGTCGCTGCTGTTTGTTTTAATGTATTACCGTGAGTTAGACGTGTCCGAGTCTCTCCAACAACTAGTCAGCTCCCAACAAGCTAACCGTCATGATGAAGTTGATGTTAAACCCGTGTTTAAATAGACTTATCAGCCCCACACACCGCGTTGTGTTTGCTAATAGGTTTATTAGATGCCAATGGACAGAGACACCTTTCCACACTTTATTATTTGGAGGAAGTTTGTTTAAGTTTAAGCACTTTTTTGTTTTAGGTTCGCCAAAGCTAGTTAAAACGAACCATTGTGTCAGCTGTTGGTGCAGAAGACACAGCAAAAGCACTTTAACACTTTAAAGTTAAAACTGTGCCTTAGTATTTGTATTTATGTTTAATATACAGTCATATTTAATCTAACAAGGCCTTTAGTGTAAAACAGTTAAAAATACAGATTTTTCATGATTACAAATAAGCTAGGATTTCCCTGAAAATGTGCTTCCATTAAGTGTGGTATCGTAATGAAAGTAACAGCTGTATTTTTCACCACTGATCTGTAACATCTTTTATGTTTGTGTTGCAGATTTAAGGAAACAGGCGAGACAGCTGGAGAATGAACTCGACCTGAAACTGGTCTCCTTCAGTAAACTGTGCACCAGCTACAGCAACTCCAGGGACGGACGCCGAGGAGACACGTACGATCAGTTCTTGTGGTGCCATCCATCAATCAAGCAATCATTCTCTTTACCTGCTTCTTTCTTTTCGGGTCGTGGGGGTCACTGGTGCCTATATCCAGCAGTCACTGTGCGAGAGGCAGGGTACACCCTGGACAAGTCTCCAGTCCCTCACAGGGTCTTGTGGTGCCAGCTATATCATTGTGAGATGTGTAATGAAATGGAGACTGTGGCCCTGTTCAGACTTCATATTAACATCTGTCCTATCTGAGTCAGTCACAAGTTACCAGATCTTATGTGTTCACAGCCGGAAATGAAAATGTATCCTCAGTAATCAGGTCTTGGTCACCCACTAACTATGACAGCACACAGTGACATCAACAGTGTTTTGGTAAAGTCAAAGGTGCATTCAGACAGAAACATATTTTATCAATTCAGGGTCACCCAAGTTGTAGCTTTGTGGAGTTATTTACTCAACCTTTGAAAAGGTTACTTATGTAACACGAGACATGGTAGAAGTGAAGCAGTGACTTCACAGAGCTCGGTCTCTGGAAAAACGCACTGAAAAAGTCAACCTGTAAAACTTAATTGCAGTAAAACACCCGGCCGTCTGCTCGCAGGTTGTGTGATCATTATAAACGTTTCACCTCACTGTAAGAATGACCACAGTGTTTAAGTTGGACATGCGGCATCACGCTGAAAAAATCAGCTAGTTGTGATTTTTATTAACACAGATTTGATAAGATGATCACCGGGAAACTCATTTAAAATGGTTTCATTCACAAGAAACTAAAATCAAGTATCTAAAAAAAAGTTAAATCTGGTCCTCTGGACATTCAAAAAAACAAACAAACAAAAAAGTAGAAACGTTTCGTCTTTCATCCAAAAGACTTCTTCAGTCTGAGGTGCTGTATTCAGCTCAGTCATAAATAGCACCTTCTCGTAGTGGATCAACCAGTCATCCCCCTGCGAATAGCAATCAGCCATCAGGGTGCTAACGTTCCATTGTTAGGCTGATGGTCCTCCTTGTTCTAGAATTGCGCCGCTCAAGGTGGCTGCATGTTGGAGCAGCTCTGTTAGGGTGCATTCACACCAGCCCTGTTTAGTCCGCTTTAATCGAACTAGCTCGTTTTCCTAGAAAGTCCGGTTCATTTGGGAGGCGTGAACGTGCCATCGAACTCTGTCACGGAACAAAAAGGCGAACTCTGGCCCAGGCTAAAACCTAGGTCTCAGTCCGGTAGAAGAGAACTCCAGCGCGGTTCGAGTACAGTGTGAATGTAAACAGACCGGACCTCGCTCCACAAGCAAGAAGTGGAGTACAGCACAGGACAAACAAACACGCATTTCTCTTACCATATATGGAGCCATCAGCTGCCTTGTGTGAAAAACAATATTCTCCATGGTCTTCTGCCTCATCTTCTGTTCATGCCAAGTCCATTTTTGAAAAATGACAAAATATAACTCTTAAAACTGCTAAAACTTGATGCCACTCCAGTTTTGTTTTTATTTCCAGAAGAAGAAGAAGACGTCTCTTCAGAGGTTTTTGTGTCGTTTCTTTCAGTAGTTCTTGGTGCAGCGCCCCCACAGGCGAGCGGGGGAATAGGTTGGTTCAACAGGTTGGCTCGACTGCACAGTGCAGTGTGAATGCAAACGCACCAGCTCAAATGTAAACAAAATGTTATGAATATTGGTCCCCAACTGAACCGAGTCTACCGGACTATCAGGTGTGAATGCATCCTTACTTTCATTCTGAGATTTTGCTTTTGGAAACTTTAATTCCTCTTTTTCTGGATATAAATCACATTTTTTGGACGAATGTTTCCTCTGGCATCAGAGTTTTTTTTATTTTATTTTTTTAAGTTTTGGACATTTGTTATGATGCGTAACCATGGCAACAAGGCAGTTTTCTTCAACCAACAGCAGCTGAATAACATCTCAAAAGCTCAAATAATATCTCAACTACAGCCTCAAATCCCAAATGATTTGAAAAGGATGTTCTGTAGACGCATTCTCATCTACCTGCCGGCTGTGCTCGAGTGCCTGACCACTGAGATCCTGGAACTAGCAGGAAACACGGCTCATGACAGTGGAAGGACAGGATCGTCCCTCTGCACCTACAGTTGTCTGTCCACAGCGACGAGGAGCTCGGCAGACTGCTGGGAGGAGTGACCATCGCTCTGGGAGGAGTTCTGCCTGGCATTCGGGCGGTCCTACAGCCCGGGGGAACCGAGAGGCCAGCGGAGTCTGGGTGGACGGATCAGACGGCATCTGCAGCCAGTTTCTTCTGATCCACTGTGGAATGAACCTTTACAAGAGATCCTTCCTGCCTACAGCCATTAGTATCTATAACATCTCTTAATGAAATAACGAGTTACAACAACAAATAATTTCCCTTTGGGATAAATAAAGTATATTTGAATTGAATTGAAATGATCATGTGAGCAGCTGGTTTTGGTTGTCGGCAACAAACTGGTTGATCCACTATGAGAAGGTGCTATTTAAGAGACTGAGCTGAATACAGCACCTCAGACTGAATAAGTCTTTCGGATGAAAGACGAAACGTTTCTACTTTTTTTGTGTTTGTTTTTGATTTTTGAATGTTCAGAGGACCAGACTTTTTTTAGATTTTTGTACATGGATTATTGAGCATGCATCAGGATAAAAACAAGTAGTTTATTAAAACGTAAAAACATATTTAAAAACTTTTTAAATTTCCGAACAGACAGCTGTTTAATTAGCCGTCAGCTGAACCTGATTTTAACAGTAAATTGACTAATCACAAAGCCTGGTTTGTTCAATAAACACACATTTAGGGAAAATAATACACAAACCATAGTCCTTTTAAGATCACTTTTAACTATTTAATTTCACAGACACATTCAACAAAAGTGTGGCACATCTTTAAGTTGAATTTCCACTTTTTTTTTTCTTTCTTTCTAAAGTTCTGACACCACCCCGCTGCTCAACAACTCCACCCAGGACCGGATGTTCGACACCATGTCTGTGGAGCTCGAACAGCTGCTGGCTAAGGTGAGGAAACCTTTGGTCCAGGAGCAAAACTTGGAGAGAGAGTTCTCAGAAAATCCTGTTTTATTCATTTCATCAAAACTGCAGAGCTCACTCTTGCTAAGTCTTGCAGTTACTTTGCATCAATTTACATTTCTGATTATAGGGAAAAACATGCATAACAAAAAAGACAAAATAAACATTCAAAATTATAATTTATTTATTTATTTGTTAGTGCAGGTAGATAAATCACAACCAATGCTGTAATGAAGTGTGCCATTGATCAGTGTGAGTTTTGTTGTTTATAGTGTTTTTGATGCTTTATG